AGTAGCTAAGGGTTAACCTCTAGTGAACAAAACGGATGCATACATCGGATATGTAGGCAGTTTTATCTGTAGGTAGAAAGCATGTAGCATATATATGGATAGCTCAAATAATCTCCAATATCAGACTTATTGCACCACTATGTAGCGTTATCAGCAGGTAGCAAGCATGTAGGAAATATATGCATAGCTCAAATAAACTCTAATATCAGACTTAATGCACCCCTATGCAGTTTTAGAGAAAGTCTCAGTCCTACGTCTCTTAGCAGGTATAGTTAACTGAAGGAGAGGGAATCCGGATCAGCTGGGGATGCTTAGTGGGTGTGCGTGTGAGACAGCAACACATAAGCAGCATGCAAGCAAGCACTAATACATGTAGCAGGTTAGGCAAGATTTACAATGACTTCCAGAATACTTGCGGTTGTGTGCTCTGAATAGTTCTGGGCTCACAGCGGGGTAGCAGTATCGATTCGTCAGCTATTGCCTCTGGGCAGCGATCTGCTTTCAGTATCCAAGGACAGCCTGTGGGTTCTCTGTTCGTCACCCGACTCTCCACAACGAGAGAACGCCGAGTGACGAACCAGCTGACCCTTTACCCTGGTAGCCGCGCCCCGTGGGAGGAGCCGCCGTGACGTCACGCACGAGACGACCCTTCGCTGGAGCGCGGGGACACGCCGGGTAAGTCTGTGACAATTAGTGAAATAAATTAACTTTGCACGATATTCTAATTATTCGAGTTTCACCTGTGTATGTGTATATATATATATATATTAATAATTAGTATTTGTAATAAGCCTACTATATTATCTGTATGACTGAACAAAAGAAATGGTAACAGCAGATTGGCTGTTCGGAGGGAAATAGGCCTATTGCTCTGTCAAACACTTTATACATTGTCCAACATCCTAGTTTAGAGTGGTCAGGGTTACAAATAAAACTTTATTTTTTCCAGGTCACTGGAGACACAATTTACAATCTGCTAAGACTGACAGAAGTGGACATTGGTGAAGACGAAAGGCCAGTTAATCCACACAAGATAAAGACCGGTGAGGTACGTGTGCTTGTAGACAAAATGCACATTAAGTTTGTTCTTGTGTATAAATATGAAGATGTTGCTGACCATCGCAGAGAGACAGTGAAGTGAAGACATGGTCAAGGAGTTGCCCTTTTTCTTCTAGCATTTTGAAATCAACATGTTTTTGTAATGCCCTTCATATTCTCATGTTATATTTTAATATGTGTGGTCTCCGTACATTAGACTTCATTCATTTTTGCTTTTATATTTGCCCAGTGTAATTATTATAGAATGACAGTATGGCATTTTTGTTTCCATTAAAGTTTTGGTTGCAAATTTTTTAATCAGTATTATTGAGGGGACTATGATATTGTAGGCGGGGTCTGTTATGATCCCTCTGTATGGAACACAGCAAAGGCTAAAACTGTCACTCAACGTGAGTTGTGCAGAGACATAATAAGGTAAACCAGAGCTGGACAAATCCCAAAAGCCAGGTAGCCAGTGCTCCTTAAAAGTTACAGCTGTCACCCAACGTTTACAGTTTCCTGTGGTTTTTGACAATGGATCTGGCTCCTGAAAACAATTCCTGCTGGCACCTGGATGGGATTGGCTGGCTTCTAAATCCCATATGAATTTGTCCACCCCCTCAAAAACACAAGTAAAGCTTGGGAGTAAATTTGCAATTGATATTAGTAGTATTACTATTGAGATTTATCACTATTAGTTTTTTGTTTTTTTAGATGCCCTGGTTTTTGTTCAGCTCTTTTCCAAAGCAGTACAGTGGATAGTGTAACAATTAAACATAATGGACGAATTTCAATACCAAATACAATTTAATATAGACTTTTAGAGCTGAAGGCCCTAGTCACTATTGCTTACAATCTAAAGTGTAACGGGAAAGAATCAAGAGGAAAATTGAACTTGTAGGGTGCCATATAGACAAAACCTGAGTGTTATTCATAGTATGTTGGCTGAAAGCTCTAGTGGATGTTGTGTACCCAGGTCAAGATACTGTAGAAGCTATGCACCAAGGTCATAGGCTTGTCTGAAGTAGTGAGTTTTGAAAGACAATATAAAGGCCTGTAAAATAAGTCTCAGTGAAAATGGAAGAAACAATGACAGCAACAGCTGTATCTTTTGGTGGGTTAGTGTAGCCATTAAACTGGCTGAACACAACTAGATTTGTTCATGTCAAGAGAAGAGAATGAGAGAAAATCAGTAGATTCCCCCATCCTTGCTACATAGCGTGAATGGAGGTCTCTCCACTGCTGGCTATCATATTCAAGCTACTCTTGTAGCACCCGCATGAGATGAATACTTGAACAGTGTCTGCATGTGATAGGATGCAGTCCCTGTTCAGCCGGGAATTCTACACCTGATGTTTTTGAGACCCATGGTGACAGAGTGATCTAGAAGCTTGGCTTCTTCAACCGGAATCAGAGGAAATTTGAACCATGAAAGACTTTACTCATTCTAAATCCTGAAATTGTATTTGATTTATAAAGTGCAGACAGGACGCAGAATTTTGCAATTAAACTGTGACCTAAAAGCATGTTTACAGGTGCAGTTGGGCATTTGGATTTACTGTTTCGAAGTACAATTCTCTTTATCTGAAGTATTATTACAGTGCAAAATAGTCAAATAAAAAAGAAACGGCAGGTTCATCCATACTTTTACTGGCATTTCTTGTCCTGACTGAAGTTCTCATTTAACATTTGTTACAACACAACATAACATAAGAAATCTTTGTTTTTTTTTGTAGGTCTTATTTAATCCATTTGATGACATTGTACCACGAGTAACAAAGAAGCTGAAAAAAGAGAAACAGGAGGAGGAGTCAAAGCAGGCAAAGGTGAAAGGCACCAAGTAAGTGCCCTACTCGCCACATGACACTGACAAGGTTATATGTATGCCAGTCAATAATATTAATGAAGAGTTGGGCTTCAAGCTGAACTTCAGGCATATATAAAAGACAGATATTATCGCAGCTCCAAAGTCATTACAACATTATTGAGGGCCTATTCACACTGTAGCATTGCACCAATGCAAGCTTAGCACATGCTATTGCATAATGTACCTAGTGGGCGTGCATTTCCATTCATTTCAGCAACACCCTAACGCACATCCCAATGGCCGTGTGTTGCAGCAGAAAACGTGGTACTGCAATACTGTGTGTTGCGATTATTATTAAGTAGTGCATACCCTACTGTTCTCACCACAGTGCATCATAAGAGTATTGCAGTACCACGTGTTGCAATGCACAGCCGCCAGGAGGTGCATTGGGATGCCATTAAAAATCAACAGCAATGAAACGCAGCTAGCAAATAATACTGCAGTCTAGGTACATTGAGCAGCAGCATGAACTAAACAAACAGTAATGCGTGAATAGCAGAAACGCTGCAGTGTGAATGGACCCTATTTTTTTTTGTGCAGTCAGAATGGGAAAAGAAAGGCATCACAAGGAGCAATTCAGGTCTGCTGTGCATCTGCTAACAAGGAATTAACGAGGAGAGGGCAGAGTGACAGAGATGAGCTCATCAGTGTGCTGTCCTGTCTTAGACTGTGGGAGGGACAAGACCTCTAAGTGTTGCTTATCTGCTAAAGTGTAAAATCAGTTATCCTGCCTTGCCAGACCGATCTGTGCTGTGTGGCAGAGCTGTGTAAATTTCAGGACTGGAAAAGTAGCAAAACAGATCTCATGTGTATTTCTTCTGCTGTTTGCCTGCAGTTCGTCTTTGAAAATGGTGCTTCATCATGCTGTAGAGATCAGCTGTTCTGTGGGCTAAGAAATGATAACTTTCTTTCAGCAGAAAGGACTGCAGCAATGTTGTACAACAGACTCTTTAACAGCGACATCAGGAGAGATCAGCAGCTGTTAGGAACATACAATGACTATGATATTCATGTCCTTGTGTACAGGATCTTATTGTACTATTGTCTTAAATTAGAGAGAACTTTTTGTGGTTAGGAAGTTGCCATGCTGTGGGAGCTCATTGGGTGAGGAGTTGATGCACAGAACAACCATATCATTGCTGATTACCCAGAAGTCTCTGTTAATTTTAGAGACCCTTGTTTGCAGCACATTTATGCCTGCATAAGTAGCAGAACATAATCAGCTCTTCATTCGTTTTTAAGCATAATATCCCACATTTTCCCCCACAGGCAGCTAACAATTGCATTTCTGTTTTATGAGTGACTCTAGTTTTGTGTAGCGTCATTTAGTCCAGTCACAGCAAGACACCATCTCCTATTAAATGCATGGAATTTGCTTTTACAGGAAGAGAATTTAATTACTCAAGAAGTGAACAGCATATAATTAAAGAAACACAAATGAAAAATGTGGTGTTTACAACAGGCACAGCTCAGGATTATTATAATAGATCTGTAGTTCTTAGAGGCTGCCTTTATGTCAGCTGGGGATGTTGTAATCTGTTTTATGGGTGCAATTTCATGCAGTCCGCCAGAAAATACTATTTTGTGAGTACTTAGCAAACTGGTTTGTTTCTTCAAATTCATTGTAAGTTGTCTCCAAGCTATTATTGTGTAAACAAATGTCCATTACGATCTACTCTGGCACTTTTATTAGTTGTAAAGTAGATGCGCTTAACACATGCATATATTCAGATTAAGGGACATGGGAATTAAAATACATGCTTTCAGGTGCATTTGGAGCTAATTTCTTAACGCACCTGGAAACATGTAATGCTTTGCTAAGGCTCAATGCACACCTAGACGTTCAGCAGGGTTTAGGTACATTCAGTCTAGCTGCTTTTACACAGTCCAGAATGTTCTGAGTCGCAGAACCGCTTAGCCTGGTTTTGCATGTGTAAATGCAGCTAAACCCAGGGGCATCTGAATGCAGAGAGAAGTGATCTGGAAGGAGAAGATGGGATAACTTCTGTTTAATGCAAAAAGCCCGCATGCATGATGATCGTTACATAGTTACATAGTATTTGGGGTTGAATAAAGACATACGTCCATCAATTCCAACCCATATAGGTCCACGCATCATCTCATTCTTAGGGATACTGCTATCCCTGGATATTATGGTCCCTCAAGAAATTGTCCAAAAGTTTCTTAAACAAATCTACCCTCTTGGCTGAAATCACTGCCGATGGCAGCGACTTTCAGACCTTAACCGCTCTTACTGTAAAGAACCCTCTTCGCCCATTGTGCTGGAATCTTTTCTGCACCAACTTTAGATGGTGGCCTCTAGTCTTTGTAACAGTTTGTTGCCAATGTTGCTGTCACCATTGAACATCTTGTACATGAGAATCATATCCCCCCTTTATCTCCTTAATTCCAGCGTAAACATGTTTAAGGTCAGAAGCCTTGTCTCATCGCTCTGGTCCTCCATCCCCCTAATTAGTTTGGTTGCCATCCGCTGGACTCTCTCCAGTTCAAGGACATCCCTTCTCAGTACCGGCGACCAAAACTGGACCGCGTACTCCAGATGTGGCCGAACCAACGATCTATAAAGAGGCACAATTATAGACTTGTCCCTGCAATACACCCATTCTTAATACAGGACAAGACCCTGCTAGCTTTGTTTACAGCAGCTTGGCACTGCAAGCTACCATTCAGTTTGTGTTCTACAATGACCCCCAAATCTTTTTCTATTTCTGACTATTTCTATTCTGCTAGCAAGCAGTAGATATAGGCAAGAAGTTTAAAAAAAAACAAAAAACGCTTGAACTGGTTTTAAACTTACCTCGTTATCGCTGCTCGCTCCCGCGCCGAGAATCAGGAAGTGATTGTACTGCCGCAAAGGATCTTGGGGCGGGCGCATGCGCAGTTCGGATTCTCGGCCGGGAGACGAGCAGAGATGCAAGGTAAGTCTATGGACGCGTGCACCCGCCTGCAGACACCGCTGGATCGGAGAGACAGAGCAGTCAGCGCTGGATCGGAGTGAAGTCGCACCGCTGGAGGGACACATGAAAACATGAGGAAAGAAGAGGAAGATCAGAATAAGAGACATCATTTGAGGTAAGTGCTAACATTTACATGGGGGGGAGGGAAAACATTTTTTGGCTTTAATGTCACTTTTAAGTATTCGCAAAATGTAAATCTAAAATTATACATAGTGAAACTGCAAGATTTTTTTTTTTACTGTATGTCCAGGTCTTTTGTCTTATTATCAGTTCTTCCCTTATGTTACCCTGGAACACATTCTCACTTCAGAGCTTACAAAACAATAAGAAAGGCCATGCTTGCATTTACATAATTAAATCTGATAAGCTATGGATCTGTAATACAAAAGAAGGCCCTTTACTTCAAGGGTCTGCAAAATTAGACTACAGATAGACATCGATAGGTGAAGTTGAGAATTCATGGTTTGCAGGATCATGCACCTAAAGTATATGTCCACTTTTGCAGACAAATTTGAAAAAACCCTCCATATGTTGTTGTGTGAGTCCTATTCATGTTGCATATCTAAAGATAGTTTACAAAAAAACTCTGCTCTTAGATTTCTCTGTGTAGCTGGCCTTTGGAGCGCCTCTGTATAATTTCAAAGTGACAGGAAACGCTGTCCCCATATAAAAACGAGGGAACCCTGAGCTTCTTCTTATTAACCTACAATGCTTCTAGATATTTAACCCTTTGTTAGGCCAGACGGTGTTCAAATCTAGTTTATAACTGATAACGGCATCTCCCAGCGCACTAACAGGTTAATTATGTTAAACATTCCCCCCCTTACATTACAAAGAAAAATTCTGTTTAGAGAAAAGCTTTTCTTTCAGAATACAGCAAGTAATATGTATGAACATGATTTTTTCTTTTCTTTTTTTTTAAATCATGCTATATGAATGGGAACATGTAACAAATGTAAAATAGGTGATATCCCAATTTGGCTGCAAAAGGGGAAATACACTTTAAGATGAGGTGCTCACACAACACTGGGCTCATAACACCCAGAGGATTGTACACAGTGGAGTGGCCTTTTTGTTTACAGCCATTGCCAGTATGAAAAGCAGACAATCTGGGCAGATAGAATGCGTCTCTCTCTTTTTTTTTTTTTTATATATGTATTTTGTGCTAAATATTCAGTCTGATTTGACTGTACCTTTTCTGACAAATACACCTTCACTTTATGTGTGCCCCTAAAGATCATTCTCTTGGTAGTATCATGTATTTGTTATGTATGATGCCCTAGGTATTGCTCCCGTATGTACTTTGTCACATGACATCAAGAAGTTTCTGCTAAGGCATTTCAATTCACGAAGACTACGATTTATACAGGTTCAGTTTAAAACATAGTGTTGGGATTTTATTTTCTATTTTTTTGGTTCTTATAAGCAGGTTTGTTCATTCCCTGTTTCTTTTTGTTTGCAGAAATTTTAGTTTGCTCTCTTTTGGAGAAGAAGCTGAGGAGGAAGAGGAGGAGGTGAATAGAGTCCGTGAGGTAATCTTTAGTACTTACTTTTTTGAGGAGTCACTAATTTACTGCACAAGGCGGAAGTAAAATGCAGGGGTGAGACTGTTCTTGGTAGAATAAAACCACAGCATAAAAATACAACAAGTACTATGTTCCAAGAATGTACTAAACCATTTGCTTCTCCTGCCAACAATTGTTTCCCTGTTACTGAACATAACATTGAAAATGAAGAACTATTAAAAAAAATACAGAAGTTGCTGCAAAAAAGTGCTGTATTTTTTGGTAACATTACAGTTCAGTTTATGTGTCCATGTGGCTGGAAACTGAAAATCCTGGTAATGCACTAATATACCGTATTTTTCGCTCCATAAGACGCACTTTTTCCCCCCCAAAAGGAGGGGGAAAAAGTGCCTGCGTCTTATGGAGCGAATCCCGACGCCCGAGACATGCAGTTTCGGGCGCCGGGCGAGTAGTAGGAGCCACTGCTCGTTTAATACGAGTAATCTAACGAGATCACTCGTATTAAAGCCGAGCAGCGGCGGCGGCGATCGAGTTCAGCAGCAGGAGCCACTGCTCGTTTAATACGAGTGATCTAATGAGATCACTTGTATTAAAACCGAGCAGCGGCGACGATCGAGATAACCATAGAGCAGACGAAGAATAGACGTTCTTTGCCTGCTCTGTGTCACCACTGAGACCGTGGCGCTGTAATCACAGCGCCACCTGTCTCAGCGGTCACTAACTGCAGCTTCTGTCATAGAAGCTGTCACAGAAGCTACAGTCTCGAGTGCTCCATAAGGTGTGCCGGACCTCCCTGCGTCCTATGGTCCGGTGCGTCTTATGGACCGCAAAATACGGTAGGTAAGGGTCACAAACAAACATGATTTTTCAGCTATCCTGAATATTCCTATTATGTTTTTTTTTTTTTACTTCATGCTAGTGGTTATGACAATGCTCATCTATATTACATATTCTTAACTTTAGTAAAAGGAATAAATAACCTTGGGTCACCAAGTTCACATAAACCATTGCTTCAGAAAAGGGGTCATCTCTTTCCTGTAGGGAATAAAATAGTTATTTTATTTATTCGTGGTATTTATCTAGCGCCGACAATTTACACAGTGTACATTCACATCAGTCCCTGCCCTCAAGGTCCCTATCTCACATGCATATACACTATATTACCAAAAGTATTGGGACGCCTGCCTTTACACGCACGTGAACTTTAATGACATCCCAGTCTTAGTCCGTAGGGTTCAATATTGAGTTGGCCCACCCTTTGCCACTATAAAAGCTTCAACTCTTCTAGGAAGGCGTCTACAAGGTTTAGGATCAGCAGGGATGGCCAAACTCCGGCCCTCCAGCTGTGGTGAAACTACAAATCCCATGAAGCATCTCTCTCCGGGAGTCATGTCTGTGGCTGTGAGAATCTTGCAACGCCTCATGGGATTCATAGTTCCACCACAGCTGGAGGGCCGCAGTTTGGCCATCCTTGGTCTATGGGAATGTTTGACCATTCTACCAGGAGCGCATTTGTGAGGTCAGGTACTGATGTTGGACGAGAAGGCCTGGCTCGCAGTCTCCACTCTAATTCATCCCAAAGGTGTTCTATCGGGTTGAGGTCAGGACTCTGTGCAGGCCAGTCAAGTTCCTCCACCCCAAACTCGCTCATCCATGTCTTTATGGACCTTGCTTTGTGCGCTGTCATGTTGGAACAGGAAGGGACCATGCCCAAACTGTTCCCACAAAGTTGGGAGCATGAAATTGTCCAAAATGTCTTGGTATGCTGATGCCCTAAGAGTTCCCCTGAAAAACCACCCCACACCATAATTCCCCTCCACCCCTCCCCCTGTATTGTGCCACTTGGCACAATACAGTCAGGCAAGTACCGTTCTCCTGGCACGTCAGATTGCCAGACAGAGAAGCATGATTTGTCACTCCAGAGAACATGTCTCCACTTCTCTAGAGTCCAGTGACGGCGTGCTTTACAGCACTGCATCCGACGCTTTGCATTGCACTTGGTGATGTAAGGCTTGGATGCAGCTGGTCAGCCATGGAAACCCATTCCATGAAGCTCTCTACACACTGTTGTGCCAATCTGAAGGCCACACAAAGTTTGGAGGTCTGTAGCTATTGACTCTGCAGACAGTTGGCGCATTGTGCACTTCAGCATGCGCTGACCCCGCTCTGTTGCTGTTGTTCCCAGTTGCTTCCACTTTGTTATAATGCCACTAACAGTTAACCGCTGAATATTTAGTAGCAAGGAATTTCACATGATTTGGAGGGGTTTCACAATACTTTTGGTAATATAGTGTATATGAGGGCCAATTTGACAGGAGCCAATTAACCTACCAGCATGTCTTTGGAATGTGGGAGGAAACTGGAGCACCCTGAGGAAACCCAAGCAAGGACAGGGAGAACATGGAAATAGTGACCTGGCTGGGATTTGAACCAGGGACCTAGTGCTAGAAGGCAGAAGCGCTAACCACTATGCCACTGTGCTGCCAGTTCGAAAAGCAGCAGCCAATTGTACTCTTTAATTGAGCCCTATAATCTACACAGACAATGTAAGGTGAGCTAACACACATCTACATTTTCTTTTGCAGACCATGAAGGGAAAGAGTAAAAGTAGCCATGATCTTTTAAAGGATGACCCACGGCTAAGTTCTGTTCCAGCAATTGAAAGGTAAGAATAGAATATATATTTCCAGTTGAAACTTGGTGCAGATGTTCAAAAAGATAAGTGCAAGTTAAAGCCCTGCTATAGGAAAGTGTTATATAGTGTCAAGTGCCCCTTTACCCCATTCAAATTTGTCTTTACTTGTTCTGTAATATTGAAGACGTTTCACCACCATATGGTCCCAGGTTGAGAACAGTTGGTCTAGAATGTTGCTTGTTCAGTGTAATGTTTCTACTCATGTTTCCTGTTAGTTGTTGTACACAGTTGTCCTTTTTGACATGATTTTTCTGTTTGTTTAACACTTTTTCCAGTTTGAATGTATCTTAGAATAGGTGTTTAGTTGAATAACAGTGGCCCTGTGACTAAAAGTAACAAAAAAAGAAAGCAGAAATATCCACTGCACAGGCACAACATAGCTGGGAGTGGTGCATGGAATGCCGGAGTCCAGGACACTGTACTGTGGAAATGCAGCAAACAAGACTACAAATGTCCAATCTGATATAGGGAAAACTTCTATGGTTTCATATTCCCTTGAACCTGACTTAGTGTTTGGTAAATAAGCCACTAACAGGGTTATTCACAAAGGGGCGAAGAGTTTGGAGAAGGTAGGAGAAGTGAACAATCTAGGACAACATAGCTGATTTGGAATAATTCTCCAATTCAGCTCACTTTCCAGTTTAGCTATGCTGTCGTAGATTGTTCACTTCTCCTGCCTCCTCCAAACTTTTCACCCTTTTGTGAATAACCCTGTAAGTATTTCTTAATCAAAAGCTGCACTTTAGGCAAAATTTTTCCATTTGTCCAAAGGTGCCCATAGACCTTACGATTATCGGCCGATTTTCGTATGCGATCGACTTTTCGGCCGATAATCGTATGTGTGCATTGCAGTGTCCGACAGACAGTACTGTACAATCGTACGACTTTTGACGGCCAAGCATGTTTGAAAACTTTGCTAGATCGTACGATTTTCGCAAGGTTGCTGGCGTTTCCGTCCATCAAAAGTCGTACGATCTACACTGCGCTAACGAAAATACGGCAAATCAATTACCGCATTTCGTCCAGGTGCTTTTCGTTAATTACGGCTAAATTAATCTTGCGATCATCGTGGGCAGGATGGGGCTGCCATACGAAAATCGTACGACTATTCGATCATCGGACGAAAAGTTTTGTCCGATAATCGTAAGGTGTATGGGCACCTTAATACTGTAAATCCACAACAGTAATGAAAAGAAGCACCTGTAGGGGACTGCACCCAGAGTGCTGCTATATACAAATGCTGACTTAATGGAAACATTTTCTTGGCCTTGGGGGTCTAAAATCGCTTGAGTAGAGCTCAGAAGCTATATGCAAGCACTAAGGTTGTCAGGTTTTGATTCCAGTTGCATATTTATAGTATTCACTGGTTTGAAAAGTTTCCTTTTTTTTTTTCAGCTTGATGGCTATAATATTTTGTATCTGTCTTCAAAAATGGAAAGTAGTTTAATAAATAAATAAAAATATGTTTTACAGCTCAAATGCTTCCACAAAGTCCAACAGTGAAAGTGATGAGGTAAGAGTAAAGCATTTGGTTGTCCTAGTTATACTTAAAGCCATAGCTTCATTAATTGATCTTACAGTAGTATCTTTTTTTCTCCTTTTTTTAATTGCATTCTTTGCTATCTTCATTACTTTACAGCATGTATTAAGTGCTCGCCTAAATGCACATTTTTGACAGTCTGCGGTTTTAACATCTGTTTGGATAATATCCGATTAGAACTGTTATTGATGCAGCTTATTTAATTTTCTGTTACTTTTTTTAACCAGCATGTTCAGCTTCAGTCTAACACTTTATACATCTACAATTGCTGCAGGCCCGATGATGTCATACATTGCAATGACCCTTGGTCAGTTTCCTATATGAGATCACAAACTGTTAACAAGTTTATTTGACAGATCTGCATAGTTTTGTAGGATTTTTGTTTTTTCAGTTGTGTAAGTGCAGCACCTTACTCAGTTATCCTATCTTCCATTTTGTTGGCGTTTGGCATTTTGGTTGATATCATGCTTTACGAATTGGTAGCCTTGACATGGTAATAAGAAAATGAATATTCTAGAGATGGAGAGTGGGCTAGCAAAGCATCTCTTCATTAAATAGCACATATGGGGTATACGGCTTCTGTGGTATTGAATGCAGGTAAGACACTGTCTGAATCTAAATAACCAACAAATGTATATAACTCAGGTACTGTATGTAATTTTTACATGAAAATATTGCAATTACTCCAATTTGGTTCTACAGTCATTTCTTTGCAGCTTAACTGGGAATGTACTTTCTTTCTTCCTGCCTTGCTTCGTATACAGCAAGGTTGAGTCCCCGGTCCCCTCGTTTTCTCTTTCTTTTATGGCCTGGGTTATCTTACTAAATTACATCATCATATAATCTACTTTTCTCATTCTTTCCTATTACCTTAACTCTTTTTCTTTTATTGCTTATAATGACCCGGTACACAGCTAAAATCCATAAAGTCCCTCCTCTTAATGTCACTATAGCCTAACCTTTAAATTAATTTTCTTGTTTTGTATAGCTTTCTCATGATCCTTTGCACAGAAAGGGCAAAGGTCCTGTTTCTGCTGGCAGTGTGACTGCTTTCTAAAGCAAATGAACTGTAAGACATTGCACACTTTTTGTTTTGATGAACCTGTAATGTAGTTAAAGACCCAACTAAACGTTTCAGTTTAAATGAGATAAAGCTCTTCTCAAACTGTCTGCAAGGGATCATGAGGAAGATATACAAAACTCGAATTAAGAAACATTGATTTACATTTTAGGCAAAACTTTATTGTGCCATTATTGGATTTTATCTGAGTACTGGGTCATTATAGGTAAAAAGAGAACATTGAAGGAGAAGAGATAAGGTAATACGAAAGGATCAGAAAGTTTTATTGTATAAACATGAAAGAAAGGGGAAAGGAGGGGACCAAGGACTGAGGCTTGCTGTATACTGATAGAGACCCCTGCTTTAATACAAAGAGCAAAAGTCCTTCTCTGCAGCATGCTGGCAGGGGACAGGCTTTTCTACTCTGGCTGTGCCTTTTGGATTTGACTGCAACTCCTTGTCTGCCATTGAGCATTCAGCACAGAAGAGCATTGATTTGGCACTGTGGAGTACAGTGGAGTAGAGGCCTCTGTTTCTGAAAGAGCCTGTGCATTAATTTAGCTACAGTCAGGATAAAGGCTTTCTGGATATATACAGTATACAGGTGAAACTCGAATAATTAGAATATCGTGCAAAGTTCATTTATTTCACTAATGCAACTTAAAAGGTGAAACTAATATATGAGATAGACTCATTACATGCAAAGCAAGATAGTTCAAGCTGTGATTTGTCATAATTGTGATGATTATGGCTTACAGCTCATGAAAACCCCAAGAACCCCAAATCCAGAACCTCAAAAAAGTAGAATATTACATGCAATCAATAAAACAAGGATTGTACATAGACCAATATCGGACCTCTGAAAAGTACAAGCATGCATATGTACTCAGTACTTGGTTTGGGCCCCTTTTGCAGCACTTACTGCAATTACTTTTGCATGATATTCTAATTCGAGTTTCACCTGTGTATATATATATCACATGCAGTATTTTCTCAGGTTTTCATTGTATTGTAGGAGGGCACGAGTGATGAAGAGGAAGTGGATAGTGATGAGAAGCATCAGATGAGAAATCGCGTTTCCAACAAATTGAAAAAAGACTCCAGTAAAAACGAAAACCCATCAGTGAAAGCCGCTGAGGATCAGCCAGAGAAGAGTAGTCGCAGGTAAGCAAATCAAATCATACTCCGTCATGTCATCAAGAGTAAATAACATTGAACAAAAAATCCTTTGCTGATGGCTGGAGTTTTAGTTGTCATTAGTTTCAAGGTCTTAGAATGCGACCATGAATTATGGGACATAAGAAGAGCCGACGGAAACCTGATTCACAACAGGGGCTACCATGACAGACTTTTTCTTCTGAAGATGCTTGTTTCCTGGCTATCACCTGATCCAATGGCTCTGGTAATTTCCAGAATAAGTATACTGATTAGTTTTGATTTCACTGTCTGACTGCTTTTTCTGGGTCAGTGTTTCTAGCTACAGCTTGCACTACTTTTATGAATTGCAGACAGAAGTCCAGTAGGATTACTGTGGCATGCTGTTGCTTTTTGGCTTGGAATGGATGTGTTGGATGTTTGTCTTTGACGTGCAATATGAAGAAGATGAACGATTTGGCTATCTTTTAGAACCAAACATTTTCTGGATAGATATCCACTAAATATCTAGCATGGACTTTTTTTAAAGGTTTAGAGCTTTCTTTACCTGTGAATTTGTATGAATAATATTGCTACTTAACCCCTTGCCCCTGGCAGGAGACAGTCCTTTAAGTGGGCTGGTAGGAGGGGCTCTTGTACATTCGTTCACTGGGATTGGCTGCACATTGATGATGTCATTGGAAGCCCATCCTACTGGCACCTGATTATCCGCATTTGACACTGAGCTGTCAGTGACATCTCAATCACAGTCCTGGGAGAACTGATTGAGGCACCTTCGAAAAACTCACTGACACATATATGCCACAGCTGGACATTAAGGCCCATTCGTCGTGCTGCCGTATGTATGCTTACGCTGTTGTAAAGTGGTTAATTACTGTTTGACCATCTGTTTTCTCAATTATTATTTGTTTTGCTTATACTGCTATTTATATTTAAAAAAGGACAGTTTGAAGGTAGAAAACTTTGTTTTTGGAGTAGTTGCATCATCTTGGTGCATTTGATAAATGGGCACCCATCCTGTTATAGTCTCCACCTATTCAAGTGTATGTGTGGGCAAAAATACATGCACATTTCCCCATGTTTTATACCTGGAAAAACATACAAAGTACAGAAACATACCTGTTAATCCTGCCACAAATTAATTGTGCTCCTTCCTAACATCTCTGCCTTTGCTGCACTGAAATTCTAAGCAGTGTTAGCCCCAGCTAAGTTCTCCCCTGCTGGACTACAGAACAACAAGCTGATGACCGGTCTTCCACATCTCCTCACCTCCAGCACTCCTCCTTATTTACATTCTCGGCACTCACTCCTCTCTCACGCAATCTGCTTACCATTTTTTTCTGCTGAACGATAACTGCTTCGAATCAGATGATGCCAATGCTGGCACAATATATGCATACATTGATTTTTGTTCCCAGCAAAATAATGCCGCTGCCTTGACTCCCAATAGTCTACCCACACACACTGCAGGGCATCCCGCTAATCCCTTCTCCTGGATGCTGCCCTGCAAACCTGGTGATAATGTCACAGGGAGTAATAAAAAGCTGTTTCTTGCTACAGAGACAAGGAAAAAATGTATGCTGGGACTTGCTCAATAGGGGAGAGAAGCTCAAGGGGAAATTTAGGTCATGCCTGGAGAGCAGCGTGGCAAAAAAAAATGGGACGCTTCCTCGGAGCGTAATAAATGCTGCACTTGTGACTTTTCGTTTTGGTTGTTATTACCAGAAATGATTTTTTGTGGCTGAAAGTCTTTTTCTATGGTGTCAGATGGTAGACAATTGTTTGCTAATGCATTTAACTGTAGTTGCTTTTAATGCTGGTCTGTAATCGTCCTGTTATACAACATTTTATAAGAGGTCTTTCTACAAACCTTACTACATAAAATTGTTGAATAAAGCGGAAATTCTGGCTTACCTTCAAGCCTATCTCCAAGCAAACTTAAAAAGTACCCTTGCAGTGTGGCTACCCCATGCACTGCAAGGGTTAACTGCTTGTTTTTGTCTAGGGACTGGAGTAGAGCAGATTTACTTACCTGAACCCCCGTCTGAACCAATGAAAGATACTGTTGCTTTGTCAAGCTTCCTCCATATATTATTTTGCTGTTGTCATTCTCACATGAACCTGTAGATGGCAGAAAAGACCACTAGAAACAATATTTTTTGTGTAAAAATCTATAGTGTCCTGCCTAATTGTTTGGGATTATATATACATATGTTTTATATAACACATCATAACAAGAATTCAGTTTCATACATACCATAATATACAACAGTATAGTTTGACCCACAAGTTAAAGCATTTTATCATTAACCCTTTCATGCTAAGCATCATCAGTATGCATTGGTTAATTTTACTATAACTCTATGGCTAATATGCCTACCTAAATAATTTTTGAAGAACATATGTGTTTATTTGGTACAATGTTTAATGTAAAAAAACCTGCTTTGTTTTTTATTGTAAATGTTAAAATGAATAAAATCTATGTAATAGGGCTGCAGCTAACAATTATTTTCATAATCGATTCGTTGCCCAATTTATCTTTTCAACGAATTGATTGGTTGTATAAAAAACACTCTCTCTCACTCTCTCCTTTTCTCTCTCCCTCTCTCCCCCTCTCTCTCCTCCCCTCTCTCTCCCCCCCTCTCTCTCCTCCCCTCTCTCTCCTCCCCTCTCTCTC